AGCCTTAGCAGTATAGTGCATTCCCACAGATAAGGGTGGTTCTCTTAGGTCCCCACCATCATATCCGCTGAATAGCAGTCACCACCCTCCCACCTTTGAATCTGCTAGGCTCTGGCGAAATACTCCTTTTTTGATTTTAGAAAAAAATCTTTTATTATTGTTACGTGTCATATGGAGAGTTTTTGCATTCCCAAGCTAACTCAACGATACTCATGGTATGAACGACTACTTTCAGTCAGTCATTTTGTATGCATCGTCACTAACAGCATTTTAAAAATGTTTACGTACAATGAAAAAGTAAGGGAATCAGAGATTTGCAGGCTACTTTCAAGATTTTAGTTATAAGCATAGCAACGAAGAGGAAATATGAAATGTTACGAAGGAGAAAAATACATAAAGCTACATAGTTATGTATATGTCTACATAGAAAGAAAGTAGTCAGTCATAAAAGATACTTCAGAAGAATACGACTACAGAGTGTTATGATAGCATAACAGTAAAATAAAATCCGTTGATACTTAGGATTCACAGTGTAGTTAAGAGACTGCAGTTAGTTATAATAGATAGTTCAGAAGAATACGACTACAGAGTGTTATGATAGCACAACAGTAAAATAAAATCCGTTGATACCTAGGATTCACAGTGTAGTCAAGAGACAGTAGTTAGTTTTAATAGATAGTTCAGAAGAATACGACTACAGAGTGTTATGATAGCATAACAGTAAAATAAAATCTGTTAATACTTGAGACTCACAGTGAATTAAGCTGAATTTTTTGACGATCCCGTTTAGAGCTTCTATTTCTGTAAACGCATATCGTAATGTAATTTTATGTAATATAAATTTCGAATAATTTGGCAGTCAGCAGCTGGGATTAAATGCATTTGAATGACTGAAAATTTGTGAGGGTAGTTCATGTAGGTTTCTTAATGAGTGCTTCCAATAGGTCTCCACGTACATCTTTATGAACACATTATATATGTGTGCATGCATCCTAATGAACAGATTACTTTGTAAGAAGTTAAAAACTTAAAGAGTAAAAAGAATAGGTTTTGTGAATAGTGGAGCAAGATTCAGCAGAACACTATGGTTAGGGTTCAATGTAGGTAGTATGAACTGAAGGTGAGGTCGGTTGACAGGACTTAGTGTACTAATATATAGTAAACATCTGACATTGCAAAGTAACGTGTCTAGATATATTATAAAAAGATATTAACACAGAACCAACAAAATTTTGGCATTTGGTTAGCAATACTGCAGTGTGTGTATACTGAAGAATGGCAGTTAGTCTACAGGGAGCTGTAGAGTAAATCAAACCACATATGATGAGAGTATAATCAATAATATAATTCGTATATCAAATAATACACTAGGCTCAATAATTGAGTGTTATAAGGGTAATAAGCGTGGTAAAGCAAGAGAACGTTTGATGCATAAATATTTTAATCATTTTTAGTATTTTAATAACAATCTAATTTTAAGAATTGAACATGCGTGATTAATAAGTATTATTACATTAACAATAATAGTGTACTCTCATTTTGTACATGAGGGATGCCAGTTTACAGGCATCATCAATATGATAAATTATATATACTATTAGCAATCATACTTAATAATAACGTTTTAATAAAATACAAATTTTTTCTGACTGTGTAGGGCACGCCAAATGTACAGGCATGGATAAGCATTATTTAAATTTCATAAATTTGGTTTATGGTTAAATCACGTGGTTGCTGACGTTTCTGTCTTTGGTTTGTGGGAACAATATGATAACCAGTCATTCAATGGAGCACATCAAGATATATAGAAATATTGTCTTCGCATTAACAAAAAACCCAAGTAAGTTGCCACTTTTCGCTCCAAACGCCTAGATAGTTTAAGTCTTGTTGGATCTTGCTTTCGACGCTCATATCACCGTACCCATTATCACATACTATCTTGAGATCATCTGCAAAACGGTATGGCGTGCCATACTTGATTACAGAGACTATGTCATTTATAAATAAGAGGAATAGAATAGGGCCAAGAACAGTACCTTGTATTACACCACTGGTTATCGGCTTTGAGAAAGGGAGCTGGTGGTTGATTTTGACTAATTGCTCTCTTATATATATATATATATAATATATTTTTCACATAAATTAAGCATTTACATGATTCACATACCGTTTGTACAGGCATGATCATATTAGACAAGTGCAGTCTGAAATTGAACACTTTTATGAAATTAAAATTTGGAAAATGAATAGAAAACTTTACAAGAATAGAATATAAGGTTTTGGTTTAAGTCTAAATTGTAATATTTAATACACTCATAGTGAGTCAGATTCATGCGGGAATTATGAAAATTTGCGTTAATGGAATGTAAGAAGAGAGGTGATATACATGTGCTGGAGTAAGCCACACTGGATCCAGACCGTTATTTTTATCAATTTGTCAATCAGTAAGAGTTCGAAAAATTATAAAAATCCACATTAGATGGTAAGCACAACATTATATTGGTATTAGCAGATAGAAGGGACCAATTGGTCGCAAAGTTAACTTTGCGATGTTGAACAGAATTCAGAATAGAATTTGTTCCGTTGTTCATCGTAAGTGCTAACAATATTCTGGATACCGCTCAAGTAATACAAATGTAGAAAGCAGGATTACTGTTCATTAGCAGTGCTTCAGTGCAATACCTTCGAGAAGTGAAGAAAACAGAAGCAGCCAGCAGATAATGATGATTTAAGTAAACAATATGCGATAACCGCAGTGTTTATTCTCCTTTTTTATTACTAGTAATTTCTAGTCATTGAGTTTTATAGTGTTACATACCAACGATTAGTTTAAGTTTATAGTAGTAAACAACAACTGAAGTATAGAACAATAAAATGTAAAGTAAAAATTAGGGCGAAACGAATTATGGTTTTCACTCTTATATAGGGTAATGTTGGGAATAGTAACTGAATAAGTGAAATCCAAATGCCAAAGTACATAAGTTATTTAAAAGAAAAGAGGAAATATAGTAATACTGATTTATGCTGTTGTTCTGATTTATACAGTTAGATGTCCTCCTGAAGTAGAGAAATCGTACCATGAGCCATTTTTTCAAAGAGTTTGTACGCAAGCTGTGACATACAGGCAGCATTTATTTTTTATTTTATTTATTAATAATTTTTTTTGAAGTAATTCATCCTCAGGAGCCTTAGCAGTATAGTGCATTCCCACAGATAAGGGTGGTTCTCTTAGGTCCCCACCATCATATCCGCTGAATAGCAGTCACCACCCTCCCACCTTTGAATCTGCTAGGCCCTGGCGAAATACTCCTTTTTTGATTTTAGAAAAAAATCTTTTATTATTGTTACGTGTCATATGGAGAGTTTTTGCATTCACAAGCTAACTCAACGATACTCATGGTATGAACGACTACTTTCAGTCAGTCATTTTGTATGCATCGTCACTAACAGCATTTTAAAAATGTTTACGTACAATGAAAAAGTAAGGGAATCAGAGATTTGCAGGCTACTTTCAAGATTTTAGTTATAAGCATAGCAACGAAGAGGAAATATGAAATGTTACGAAGGAGAAAAATACATAAAGCTACATAGTTATGTATATGTCTACATAGAAAGAAAGTAGTCAGTCATAAAAGATACTTCAGAAGAATACGACTACAGAGTGTTATGATAGCATAACAGTAAAATAAAATCCGTTGATACTTAGGATTCACAGTGTAGTTAAGAGACTGCAGTTAGTTATAATAGATAGTTCAGAAGAATACGACTACAGAGTGTTATGATAGCACAACAGTAAAATAAAATCCGTTGATACCTAGGATTCACAGTGTAGTTAAGAGACAGTAGTTAGTTTTAATAGATAGTTCAGAAGAATACGACTACAGAGTGTTATGATAGCATAACAGTAAAATAAAATCTGTTAATACTTGAGACTCACAGTGAATTAAGCTGAATTTTTTGACGATCCCGTTTAGAGCTTCTATTTCTGTAAACGCATATCGTAATGTAATTTTATGTAATATAAATTTCGAATAATTTGGCAGTCAACAGCTGGGATTAAATCCATTTGAATGACTGAAAATTTGTGAGGGTAGTTCATGTAGGTTTCTTAATGAGTGCTTCCAATAGGTCTCCACGTACATCTTTATGAACATATTATATATGTGTGCATGCATCCTAATGAACAGATTACTTTGTAAGAAGTTAAAAACTTAAAGAGTAAAAAGAATAGGTTTTGTGAATAGTGGAGCAAGATTCAGCAGAACACTATAGTTAGGGTTCAATGTAGGTAGTATGAACTGAAGGTGAGGTCGGTTGACAGGACTTAGTGTACTAATATATAGTAAACATCTGACATTGCAAAGTAACGTGTCTAGATATATTATAAAAAGATATTAACACAGAACCAACAAAATTTTGGCATTTGGTTAGCAATACTGCAGTGTGTGTATACTGAAGAATGGCAGTTAGTCTACAGGGAGCTGTAGAGTAAATCAAACCACATATGATGAGAGTATAATCAATAATATAATTCGTATATCAAATAATACACTAGGCCCAATAATTGAGTGTTATAAGGGAAAAAGCGTGGTAAAGCAAGAGAACGTTTGATGCATAAATATTTTAATCATTTTTAGTATTTTAATAACAATCTAATTTTAAGAATTGAACATGCATGATTAATAAGTATTATTACATTAACAATAATAGTGTACTCTCATTTTGTACATGAGGGATGCCAGTTTACAGGCATCATCAATATGATAAATTATATATACTATTAGCAATCATACTTAATAATAACGTTTTAATAAAATACAAATTTTTTCTGACTGTGTAGGGCACGCCAAATGTACAGGCATGGATAAGCATTATTTAAATTTCATAAATTTGGTTTATGGTTAAATCACGTGGTTGCTGACGTTTCTGTCTTTGGTTTGTGGGAACAATATGATAACCAGTCATTCAATGGAGCACATCAAGATATATAGAAATATTGTCTTCGCATTAACAAAAAACCCAAGTAAGTTGCCACTTTGCGCTCCAAACGCCTAGATAGTTTAAGTCTTGTTGGATCTTGCTTTCGACGCTCATATCACCGTACCCATTATCACATACTATCTTGAGATCATCTGCAAAACGGTATGGCTTGCCATACTTGATTACAGAGACTATGTCATTTATAAATAAGAGGAATAGAATAGGGCCAAGAACAGTACCTTGTATTACACCACTGGTTATCGGCTTTGAGAAAGAGAGCTGGTGGTTGATTTTGACTGGTTGCTGTCTTTCTGTGAGAAAAGAACATATCCATTTGAGAAGCTTTCCGGTTATTCCGTAGGATTGGAGTTTTGTTAGGAGTCTGATATGTGGGACTTTATCGTAGGCCTTGCTAACGTTGAGAAACAATGTTGTTACCAAACGCCCATTATCAATGCATTGTGTAATGTAGTCAAAATTATCTGAGTGGCATGTAATGCACGACCTTCTACTTATGAGACGGCATTGGGATGTGAATTGTAGGTCATTTGACAGCAAGTACTGTATGATTTGAGTGTTAACTATCTTTTCCATTACACGTGAAACTACAGACGTAATGTTGATGGGGCGGTAGTTGTTGATATCTGCTATAGGCCCGTATTTATGGATAGGTACAGTATAAGACTTCTTTCAGAAGTTAGGGTATGTCGCATCGCTTAATGAAATTGAGTATAGCTTGAGTAAGAGTAAACTCATGCCATTACCACCGTTTATCAGTAGAATGGAAGATATGCCATCTGGACTGGTAGTGTTACTAAGCTTAAGATTTGCGACAGCTTTATCGATCTCATGTGTGGTGAAAATTATGTCACTTAAACACTCGTCTGTTTTACGTGGGAAATCCACGATCTCATCGTGGCGATGATAAGTCATGATACCTGGATTATTTTATTGAGTGCTTTCGTAGACTTCATCTAAACGATGTCGGAATATAATCCTATCAGGTGCAATGAAGTCGTGAATTGAGTTAATATTCTGATAAAATTTGTTAAGAATTGCATCTAAGGACTGGTTCGAAAGGTACGAGTCCCAGTTAGAACATCTAATTAGGTGCTGATACAAGTCCCAGTCAGCATGTGTGTACAATCTCGTAGGTGTCTGACCAGCTTCATCTCTGCGTTTTGTTTCAGGAAAGATGTCAAAAGAACAAACTACTATTCTCTGGTCACTACCTGGAAATTCATGTCCCACATGTACTGTAGATGGTGTTATGTTGTTCGTGAAAATAAGGTCTAGGATATTTGCGGATCTAGTGGGTGAATTTATGTGTTGCGTCCACCCTCCTGTGACGATGGAACTCATGAGATTATCATACCTTTGGGGTCCTCGAAGTGAAGGCCATGATACTTCTGGGATGCTGAAATCGCCTCCGATAATTTTATAACTGAAAGGAAGATTGGCTATAACATTAAAGATATTGCTAAGCATATTATCATATTCCCTGCTAGATGAAGGGGGCCGGTACACAAAACCCACAAGTATAGGTTTACTTCTGACGACTTTTATTTCGACCCAGATCGAGTCATTGAGTTGTGACAGAATCGGGTTACTAAACTGGGTTGCACACATGGATTGTTCACAGTAAATTAGTGTTCCACCCCCACGACCTGTCCATCTGTCCCCTCGAAAAAGGTTGTATTTCTCAATCATTAGGCTGTCATTGGAGATTTCACTTGTGCACCAGGTTTCGATGATCATAATCAATGACGGTCTGCATGCAGAAGCTAATGTACTTAGTGTTAAGTGTTTGCTTAGAACTGATCTCGTATTTACTAGGATGATAGATAAACACTGGCCATGTGGTTTCAGTGAGCGGACAACATCTTGGTAAAGTAATCCGTGAGTATCCTCTATATATATGTTATCAGACTCATTTACCAATATCTTTGGATCGTAGGAAGACTTCAGGTAGATTTTTGAGATGATAGTCATGGATGAATATGTTATGCAGTGAGAGACACCTGTGTGATAATCAGATATTAATATTTTAGAGGTATTAATATCCGCGTTTGGTGTCGACACTGTGTCAGCTATCTCCCGGGAAATATGCCTTGCCCTAGCTGTAGACTGTTCGCTGTGGCAGCAAGGAATTGATCCGATATCATGCGTGCTATATGCATGATGCCATGTGTTTCTGTTAAATGACGCTGGTGAAAATCCTGCCCTAAGGTATAACCGATATGTGTATTCGGTAATTTGTTGCCAGTATAAGAATGAATTGTTGGTATCTGTTTCTGGTATTCATCAGACCATAGCAAGTTTTGTGCAGACATCGGCACATGTTCTCCACTAAGTACATAAGATGTATGAATGGGTTCTGTTGGCTTGCTAACTGTGGTCTGTGGCCGATGTTGAGGGCATTTTCTATAACTTTCAGTTGACAGAATATTAAAAGTGGGCTGGTTTACAAGGGGTTTACATGGTGGATGCGCAGAATAATGCCTACTACCTTGCTGCGCTGTTTGTCTAGAATTAGGGATTGGATAAAATTGGCTTTCCACTTGACACCAATTAGGCCTACCCCTAGGAGCTTCGTCTACCATACTCGACTTTCTCTTAGAAAGAAGGCCTAGAGGTGCTTTCGTCTCTTTCATATCAAAGGAATTTCTTGCTCCGGGTCTAGTGTTTAATTTATTTACTTCTTTTTCCCTTATCTTATGATCGACTGGCTGATGATGAATAACAGGGCAGCCAGCACATGCTATGTAGGGTCTCTGTGGCTTGGACACCTCATGAGCTTTAGTTTTCCTAATGGAAATGGGACGTTTGTCATAACGCCTAGAAAACTTGCCAACTTGGGTGGCTACATTCGACTGGTACTTCACAGAGTGTGGATTGTCAGACTGAGGGTAACAGACTTATAAGGTGATGGTTGGACCACCAGTGGGATGGGTTTTGATGGTTTCGGTGTCTTGACTTTTGCGTCAGTGTGAAAACGATGTATTTCAACATTATTTCCCGTCGACTCATCTATGTCCACCATTTCAGCGTCAGCATCAATATCGTTGTATAATGCTTGGCTAACATTAGCCAGTGCCTGCGAAAATGTCTGTTGCATGCCGTGATCAGGTATTTCACTAGACGGAATAACGCACGGAACATCATCTACAGTTATCCTATTAGAGTTATCAGCGTTCACTGTTTCTGAGCGGCATCGCCTTTGGCATGGTGTTAAATCAGGTGCAACCCTAATGTTAGTGTATGGTGTTGAAGAGCCTATTGTCTTACCAGATTTCAGAAAATTCCTGGCTTCTTCAGTAGACCTAAGCTTGAAAAGCACAGGACACGGGTGGTTTGCAGATTTCTTACGAATAGGCAAAACCTGACATTCTGTCAACGACATATTACAAGCCTTTAGACACGAATTCTTAAGTTTGGCAATCGGCTCTCTGCCTGGAATGTTATAATAATAATATATATTCTCATATAAACATATAAATTTACATGAAAATGCATGCCGTTTTTACGGGCACGATCAAGTAAGGCCAAGACGTTATGTGAAGACATAATCCACTTAACAGCTTCTTCAGCCAAATAGTCAATTATGCGCTCGGATTTGATTAAGGATTCAAAACAGATGTTTTGTAATGGATCACACAGTTGCGTGAGAGGCATAATGCTGTCAAACTTGCTCTGTAGTTCTGCTATTGACTTCTGAAGTGTCAGTAAATCATTTTTGCTACAAGCCGCATTCTTTGTCAATTCCTCCATGATATCAGATACCATAACTCTGGGTGTGGCTGGTGTAAAAAGTGTAGAATTGTCAACGGAGCTGAGGCCTTCAGATGGCTGACTAGTATTAGATCTCAGTCTCTTAACGGTGCTTACACGTTTGATAGACTTAACCATTACAGAAATAAGAAACTTCACAATTTCCGGAAAAAAGGTCTTGAGGATATAAAAACAAGATATCTGCATTATCAAAGTATCAAAACAACAACGATAAACAGATGTATATTGCAAAATAAAAAGTCAGACTTTCCTCTACAGAGTTTGCTGTGGATAAAGTCCTGAGTTCCACGTGGTTAGATAGGGTATCCGAAGATTCTTCACGTAGATTTCACGAGTGAATGCTATATGTTGTTCCAGTTGATATAACACAATCCTTGTTGACTATGGATAACTGGATAATGTGAGGAAAGCGGCCAATTTCCATAATATTGAGGAAAAATGATTCACGCGGAAACTGAACACCTGTAGCGCAACAGTTCGAAACTATGTAATATTAGTTACATTTGAAATTTTTGATTTCCACTTTGCAGTTTGACAAAATATGGTGTCATGGAGAAAGGTGTAACTAAATACGCCTAACCATCCTCCAGTATATATTTGAGATTAACACAGATTATAATTGCAGTCATATTCGGAGAACTCCTAGATTCCAGTTATATGAAATTCTCTTGATTTTTAGAAACTGTACGATTAAACCTCCGAATCAAGATCTTCTTTAGCAAGAGAACGTATTACGCCGTCATCGTGGTATATATCCGCATGCTCCTTTCACACTGTCCTAATGCCTTTGAAAATATCTGGACAGGTGAAGAAATCTGAAAATGTGTTTTCCTAATGCACTCACCAGCGAAATGTTCCCGGGCATTTTCAGGCTGTTTAGTCAATATATCCCTGAAAAATATAACAAATATTTATAGTCCATATCTCAAAAATGCTGTCACCATATACTTCACTTCGGTATGTTGTCGCAGATATCTGTATCACGGCGCGTTCAACGTTTGCGTTACATTTTTACGTGATTCGTTACATAAAATTTATCTTGTTGTAACACTTGCACAAGTACTATACCACTTCCATACTTGTAACCACTAACTTTCATTTCTAATAGTTATGGTTAATCAAAGTAAAAAGCGACGAACCCATTCCCCTGTAAAACTGGTGTCTAATTTAACGTCCTTGATTGCTACATCAAGCAACACACCCCCTACAAACGGCTATAATGAGTCACATAACTCACTTGTATGCCGTAAGCGTCGAGCTGGAACTGAGGATAAAACTCTACTGACAGCTAGTATTGGCACTACTCCAAAAATCCAGTACCCTCTGCTCATACAGAACTCCTCCCTTCACCTTATGTGCTTATCGAAAAGCTCCAGCCATCAAGCTCTTTTTCAGCACTATCTTCAGAAATAGAACTTCTAAAGTTGTCTATAGGTGAACTTAAGGCTGAGTTAAGGGAAATAAAAAACAGTAAGTCAGTAAATGCTGGAAACATCGAAACCGATACCGAGATATCCAAATTATCAGATCAGATCAGCGATATCAGATCGCAGGTCTGTGAACTGACACCTCTAACTATCCTCATGAAAACTGTAAACCTTAACAAGCTTGACACAGAATCGGTAACTAAGGTAGATAACCTCATTAATTTTGTTACCACAGAAGTAACAAAACGACTCGACGCAAAACTGAGTGCTATTGTCTACAACGTTCCGGACAATGAGGCACTAAAAAAGGTACAGCGCATCTTACTTAGTGAGGCGAAAATGCCTAACTCCAAGACTAAGTGCTATAGGCTGAAGAAGAGTCAACATGAAAAGTGTTGTCCTATTCGCTTTCAGTTCGAAACACCAAAAGAGACCAGAAAATTCATCCACTCCCAACACACCCTATCGCAAGCCAGAAACTACAAACATATAAAGATCGGGGTGGACAAAACAGTCATAGAGAGGCGCGCATACAACTACCTCGCTAAGACCAATTGTGAAATAGGTAATAGGACATTGCAAGCAGCCATT